GCATCCATGCTGAGTTTTCTTGATGTGTTAGCTTCAATTTGGTTGTGACGATGACCCCTTGATTTGATGATGTTCATCACATGATGGACGAAAGCTTGCCCCTTTTCACCGGAACCGAAAGAGACTACCTCGGAAACAGCGTCCGCATGAATGTTCCAGTGAAGCCCACAACAGCTGGTCAAGATGAATCCGCCGTCGTCTTCATCAGACACTCCAACAATTGGAAAGAGAGAAGTAAAGGGAACAGGAACAGCGACTGATTAAGAAGAGAAATCTAGACTGGACTGGACTCTTGTTTTGTATCTAAAATAGCCAACCAACTGGCGAGTATTGCATGCACACACGAACACGCATCCACGAAGCTCTAACAAGACCCAGGGCAACTGGATCATACACAAAAGTTGTGGCCACATCCACTCCCCTTCCTGCATGCAGGATCGACATGAAGCGGCCAACAAAAGCATGCAACGTCTCATTAAGATCGCAAAGTGAGGTGGTTTAAGAAGTGAGTCGAATATCAACCGGTCACCTTTGTCGGTTTTGATGTTTATTTTTTTGGTCATTTTTCCGTGATTAATGCTTTTTGTCTCGGACGCTGTCCGTCAGATTGCAGACAAAAGCTCAGCACCGCTCATTTCAACGGAGGAAAGTTCACGACAACCCGACTGCAGTTACCGGCGAGGCCAATCTACGAATCCCTTCGACCCGCCTCCTCAAACCAAATGAAAGATGTGCCGGTATCATGCTGTTACATTGCCTAATTACTCATTTCCGGTATGTAATTTCATCTTAAAGTCTACGCATAAGTCTTGTATAAGAATAATAATCATCCCGATTTGCTTAATGTGAAGAGGGACTGGTAGTCGAATTTTCCCACAATCATTCAATTTCACATTTAGTCTTACTTCTCAAGAGATATTCCTATCCTGACTGGACTGGATTGGACTGGACTGCAGTTTCAACCACACGCGAAATGATCCAATCAACACCCTTCAGCGGGACTCGAACCCGAGTTTCGGTTGTGCCGCGCATAATCTCGACATGTCACCACAATCATGCCAGACCGCCACGAGTGTCATAGGCCCATCCCATTTCACATTCTGTAGTGGGATTGTCAATGAAGCAAAGTTTTCCTTCTTATTATTTCCGTTTGTAAGTAGATTTTCGAGACTACCAGCAGATCTCGTTCCAAGTAATGAAAGGTTGATGGATGAATTTTTCCACGATGATATTCCCCATTTGCTGAGCCTTCTTCTCTTTCCAGGCAAAAGATGTAACTAAGGCATTTGTGTATTTCGATCTCGTCAGGAGGCGAGATCCGAGTCCTCTTCGGCTCAGCTGACGCTGTCCTCGCGACATCTCCAGAACAGAGCGAAAGATGTCATGCACTCTTTCAAGTACTCGAGGCTATTCAGCTCGGTTCGGCAGCCACTTGCGTCGGCCTCAAGCGATTGCATGTTCCTGATGCTCGAACCCGCAAGTCTTGGAGCGAGTCCCGCCGTGGATTTGAGCACTGGTGTGCCGAAGCAAATGATCCCCTGCAATGGTTGTAAAGTCTACATAATGATTTCCCGACTGATGGTATCTATGGGGACGACGAAATGAACTTTTTTGAGTAGATGGAACATAACTGTGATGCTGCCCTAGAGACGCATCTTTAAGAGCCCCGGATCAGCTTTAGCCACGCCAGATGAGGCCGGCAATAGAAGCAGATTATAAAATGATGGCTGGCTAGAAAGACGTGGATGCTGGCTCGAAACCGGCGACAATTTGCGGAGTTCCATTGCGCTCAAATGACCCAAAGGTCCACTATCCGAGCGATCAACATTTCCAAATCAAGTCACCCGACCGATGTCTCCAACCGATGAGACTCGGTGTAGAGAAGTGAGCTGAATTACGTGAACTCATTCACATTCTCGCCACAGTCACAACGAAATGTGCACTGGCATGGGCTGTTGAGCAACATGTCTCATGAGCCAGAATGCTGGTTGGCCCCAGAGACTGAGCTGTCACTAAGTGGCATACAACGAGAATAATGTAATCCCACACCGTGGTTTCTGCTGCCAGAGATTTGATGCAGAAGCCCGAATAATGTAGTTACCCAAAACTGTCATCTACTCGTGCTTCTCATCCTGCCAGAGGCTGAATGTGTATCCCTTCGCAGTCGTTTTGGCTTTCGGAAGAAAATGAAGACCACTCTCCTCCTTGATTGTCACCTGACTTGGCATTTCGAAAGAAAAGTTGGGTGGAAGGAATTGGAGAAATGGCCCCATCGGAAACCTAAGGACGACTGGCTGTCTTGAAGTGAAGACGAAATGGCTCAAAAATATACTAAACTGAGAGAGCCGACTGAATAGACTTTTGCGCTATTTCGCGAAGTATGCATTCTTGCTCTGATGATGTCTGCCACGGCTGTGCATATGAAAGCTCAGCACAGGCTCATCAAAGCGTGGCGGCACAATGAGCCGAGAACTTGTTCGTAAAATCCAACAATCTTACCTCCACAACAGCAGATTCTCCTTCGGCTTCAGTTGAAGCCGAGTCATCTCCCTTTACGATCTAACGGTCTTGACTACTCCAGTTCTATGATCTGGAAGTATTTTTTACGATGCCCAGAAGTGGATCTTTCAATCGCTCAGCGCCCCACATACATGACAACAAGACAGTAATAATAATAATATTATTATTATTATATTATATATTATTATATTTAGTAATTTTTGTAAGGCGAAATGAGAAGGTCAAAAGTGGTACCAGCTGGGTTCGAATAGCGTTGCTTGCGAAACTGCCGGGCTCGAGATGCCGGGTAGGTTTTCGACCGAGTCCTGCCCCCTCGGGCGTTGGCGAAAAGGCCGGAAATGGTCCAGGAAAGTAGTGAGATAACTCCAAAAACTACATCAAAAATGGTCAAAAATACGAACTCTCCAATAAACGGAAACGCGGAACTTTTACTCCCTTCCATCATTGTTTGGAAGACTGACGGTTGGCCGACGGTTTAGGAGGAATTTAGTAATACTCATTAGATCGAGATATTGTGAGCCTAAGATTAGTCGTAATATCAAATTATATAAAAAATTCTAGAAGGAAAAGGTAATTAATTTATCCATTATAACTCTGCAACTCTGTGGAACATTTATTGGAAAGAGAATTGAACTAAAGTGAATGCTCATCTGGACGTACCGGTTGAATTAATTAGCTCATCGGATAGGTCGTGTGAACATATCAAGAATGGCATTGAGCTGGAGCTGATCACTCATTTTGACCGGACAATCCCTCCAAAGCAATATTGTGTCCTCAGTGGGGCTTCTCGTTATTTATGTCGCGATAATCCAATAGTTATAAAAGCCGACGAATGTGGAACATTGGTAGTCATGGTTGGGTCAAGTTAGATAGAAAAAATGCAAGTTCATTTAACTGGCACTGACACTGAAAGCTCCATCAAAAAGACTTTAGATTAAGTTGATTAATGCACTTAAGGTATGCGTTAGTAACGGTGAAATGGTGAAATGGACAAGTGGAGCATGGATTCACTACTTCAGAGAGATGCAAGCACCCCGACGCCATACAGTCTCGC